CACGATTGTGGAAGTTAAGGTGTGTTGCCGCGGGGTACACGTGCGCTACGATATACGACCTTTCTCCGCGTGGTTCAAGTTCCAGTTTTTGTGTGCGCCCGTTACATCCATGAAGCGGGGGAAGATGTATGTTCATGTTGGAGTCGGACAACCGGACTACAACCGGGATACACACACATAGATACAAACGGCTCGCTGCCAATTATCGCGGGCCATTACAACCCTATCCTTTATTTCCTCCTCTACCCGCGCCTAACATCACACGAGGGGGGGGGGGGGGGGGGATAACACGAAGTACATGTATGAGGGGGGAAACTAGTTCTAGCGGTGTCTGTTTTTCTGGCTCGGTCTAATGGCCGTTGAACCCACTTCTCCCGAGATGCGGTGGTGCAATATGGATATCCGGGCAAGCCGATACTTATATAATATAATGGGCCAACGGTCCGTATTTTCGGAATGCACGATGGGTTCTCTTGCTTCCTGCAGTGCTTGACACATACCGGAGCGGTGAAAGAACTGTCATGATGCAGTCGTCGTTCGTTCTGTCCCTGTTGGTCGTTGCGGCTGCCGCATTTCAGCAAGAACAGTTCATCCCGTGGTACATCCAACACGAGGACCAACCCACTGATGTCCCGGGGCCGATTGTAGATCTCGACTACGCCCGGTACCAAGGGTACTACAACTCCACGTTTGATGTCGACGTTTACCGCGGGATACGATACGCCGCGCCTCCCAAAAGATGGCAGCGTCCTGAGTCTCCTGCCATAAACAGGACGGCGATAATCCAGGCGACGCAAAACCCGCCGAGATGTCCACAGGCTAATGCTGCCCCTTTGTATGCCTTCCCTCCTACGTTCTACTGCGTATATAGTGATGTGATGCTAATGATAGCAGGCCACCGAGTCTGGATTTCGATAGTGCCATCAAGGGGGACGAAGACTGCTTGTTTCTTAATGTCTTTGCACCGGCCGGCGCAAAAGGGCTGCCTGTTTTGGTCTGGATTCGTAAGCCTCGCCCGATCCATCCGCCCCTCCCCTTTTCCTCCCATCCACATCCCCCCTTGCCCCTTTTTCGCGGGTACCGCGCTGACATGACACGGGGTAGACGGAGGCGGGTACGGAGCAGGCTCTGCCTCCAGCTTCGACTTTTCCTACATGGACCAGACCGTTGGCAACGGGTTCGTATCTGTCGTCATCCAGTACCGCCTGGGGGCCTTTGGCTTTCTTTCGTCTGCAGATGTTGCGCGACATGGCGTGGCGAATGCAGGGCTATACGACATGCATTTCGCGCTGGAGTGGGTGCAGCATTACATCTCCCGGTTCGGGGGTGACCCGAACGAGGTGACCATTTCCGGGGAATCTGCCGGTGGGGGATCGGTCATGATGATGGCCATGGCCAACGGCGGGGCTGACGGGACGTCGCTGTGGAAGAGGGGGATTGCCGACTCCCCTTACCTCCCTACCCAACCGTACGTTTTACACACATCCAAAGGGGCCAAAGCGGGGGGAACTGACAAAGAGGGCAGAAACTTTGATGATGGCATCACGACAGATTACTACCTCCAGTTCGCCCGCCGGGCCGGGTGTCTGGACGACAACGCCCCGATCAACCTGATCGAGGGGTCCATCTTCAGGTGTCTGCAGGACGCCGGGACATATGTCCTGCAGAACGCCAGCGCGTACACCAGCTACGCGGCGAAGTTCGGCCAGTGGGCGTTCATCCCGGTCACGGACGGGACGCTCATCCGGGACAGGCCGACGAGCCAGTTGCTAAATGGCAAGGTTAACGGGGAGCGGATGATCACTGGTGTAAGTCCCCCCCGGCCCTTTTATCAGGCGAACTCTGCGCGCGCGCGCTGATGGGAAGTTATTAGAATAATGCGAATGAGGGCACGTACTTTGTCCCGCAGAACATCACCACCGAACAGGAACTCCAGGATTTTATCCTGCTCAACTACCCCGGCGCGGCCAGCCACCTTCCAGCTATTATGGATCTGTACAGCATACCCAATAATATAACGGCCAAGTTCGAGACAGATGGGGTTAACCCCCCGTATGCGACCGAGGTGTCGGGGTATGCCGTCGGCTGGCAGCAGGCTGCAAACAATCTCTACGCGGAAACGACGTTCGTCTGTCCGGCGTATTGGCTGGCGGATGCATACAGCGGCAATGGGCTCGGTTTGGGCGGGAGGTCGGCATGGAGATATCAGTATTCGATACCCAATGCTTTCCATGGGAAGGATCTGGGCCCGCTGCTAGGGAACCCGGCTGATACAGATAACCAAGATGAAGTGTTTAGGCGGTCGTTCCAGCAGATCTGGGGCCGGTTCATCATCAACGGTGACCCGACACTCCCGGAATCACCGGTGGTTGGGGGGGATAACGTCGCTGCTGCGGGTGGTCAGTTCTGGCAGCCTTGGGGAGGACTGCAAGGGAGGGGAGGGGGAGGAGGAGGAGGGAGAGGAGGGTCGGAAAACAAGATGCTAGACTTAAATGTTACGAACGCAGCGCCATACCGGGCGAACTGGACGGTTGTCGATGGGAATTCGTGGGAGGGGGGACGGGCACAGAGGTGCGCGCTTTGGGCGAGCATTGGGGGTGATGTTGCCGAGTAATTCGAACACGACAGGACAGGGTGGTTAATCGTGGTTGATGGTGAACAGGAGGGTTGTGCAGGTCACAAGGTTACACACATGTGGTTTCCAGGGGCTATGGGGGTTGTATCTGTTTCCGCCATTCACCATCAACATGGGTACTCCTAATAACATTTCACAGTTGCCAAGAAGGAGAGTCATACGCTCGAAGAAACCGCTGAGAACGATGATCCACAGAAGCCCATTGCAGTGAATCACTCGACAGTCTACATGGCACTCGCACATTGCCGGGGGCATGCATGGTGTTGTCAAGTTGAATGATTCACGACCTGGCCAGACCCAGATGTGTACCGTGTCTTGCTCCATTCCCGAAGTAACCTGAAGGATCGAAATGGCGGAGAGCCTGCTCTGACGGGTCGACCAAGGTGAAGTAAACGACTTCAGGGTGTCTCTTCACCTTGTCCATGCGTACAGCGAGATTCTTCATCCGGTGCTTTTCCATTGGCGGGCAGCAATGGTCGGCATGTCCATGTCTAGATGTGGAGAGACGGCAACTGGCCGAGGAAGAAAATAAACATGGCAACATGATCCTGTCATTCTGATTCACCCCCATGGATGCCTCATAAGATCGAGATGAAGTCTGCTTGGCATGCAGCACTACTTGATGTTCTGCTAAATTCAATGTGTCTTGCCAAAAGAAATATGCAGTGCAGGTCGCTCCTTCCACTTTATATCTGAACATAAATTGCCAACGACTCTTGACAGATTTCTTGTCCTCTTTTTTTTCTTCTTCTTCTTCTTCCCAGCTCCGACTCCCACCTCCAACCGGAAGTCTCTGCTTCTCGATACAGAACACAGTTTCCATCCTAAGAGATTGTTCAGAACGGAAGGTGCGAAGTCTTCTTATTTCTTTACAGTGTGAGTTATTATGTTAACGTCTGTTCCAGATTCGGTCCAAGGTCTACATCATGTCGAGACCTAGAGGAACCTCCCACCTTGAAGACCTCAAGCATCTGCATCTAGATGAAACGCCTACCACTCCCCCTCATCATGCCCAACACCATGGCCATGGAGAAGCTGGCAGCCATCAAAAGCCCGCCAGCATGCAGATCCAGCTGTTGTCCAACCTCAACCACGCGGTCGAGAAGGCTCTCGCCAAGCTCGAACACGGCACTATCAGGGAGATGCTCGACGAGATCGACACCGCAAACATCCGCAAGGACCCCGACAATAATCCTTACGTCCCCCAGTTGAAGGCCCGTCTGCAGCAAGACCTGGAAAAGATGATTGAGTGGGCGGTCAAGAACCACGTGCACAACATGCACGTTGCGCTGGTCGGCAACCCCAAGGCCTGCTCCGGGAACGTCTGTGATGCGGAGGCCGAGTACAAAAAGGTGAAGGAGCAGTTGGAAGGAAGTATCAAGATGAACTGTGTGAGCCATGCACAGGAGACGGATGAGGAATTTGTCTGGTATTTCTTGCCGAAGTGGCATTGGCAAATGCCGGGCGTCAGGTGCAATGTGGAGGAGACTGTTGCGAGATGGCGCCATCGATATCCGCTGCCTAACCAGGGACCCCACGAAGCGCATATTCTGGGGTATAATATTGAATATGACGTGGCGACGGATAGGGACTATCTCATCCCGGCTTCGCGGGGGAGCAAGGGGGTGGTGCGCAGCAGGGCTTTTGCGATTAGGAAGGGAGCGGAGGAGAAGGAACTGGAGAGAATCTTTGGTGTAGAGTGCGCGGTCAAAGAGGAGATGTTCTTCGTGGAGGGGTGGAATGAGTTCAAGCAGGGAAAGACGTTCGTTTCCGCCGATACGGTGGCTGCGCCGAAGAAGGGGAAGAAAAATGAGGGGCATAAGGAGGCTCCCGCTGGATGGTGGTAACCAGGTGGTGACTGACAGACCGGACTAAAAAGGGGAGCGGGTGGGGGGTAAAGGGGTAAAGGGGGAGAGGGATGAAGAATGAGATGTGTACCATGGGACGGCCAATGATGGCAATAATCAGCAGTAAAGGAAACTCAAGTTTGAACCGGAATAGATTAGGTAGCTTCTCGTTTCTGTGTGTTCCTTTCCCAAACCGTGAGACTGGGATTCGCCAGTCATTGATCATCCAAAAGGCTTGTGAGCAAGCTTGGAAGCGCATGAGGGAAACGCGGAGACATATGGGGACGACGGTACAGGCAGAGCGTAATGCTGTGAAGCGCCAATCTCTCATTCACCGTAGGTTTTTGCCCCACCATGCTGAGAGTCAGCCAGGCAAACGCAAACATACGCCCCCTCGCTCCTTCCCATTCACTCAGTTCCCAACCACAAACACGTCAACACACGCCACCCCCACCGTCCCTGCTTGAGTCATCCCATATAGACACACTTGCTGCAGCCCCATCTCAACAAAAACAGAAACCCCGGTGGTGTATCGGTTAACATATCCGATTCTCAAAAGACAAGTGTCATGAATTCGGTTGCGCAGGGTTCGACTCCCTGTCGGGGTGTTTCTTTTTCACTTTTTTCCACTTCTGCTTTTTGCAAGTTTCTTCACATCGCTATCCTTGCTTTTTCTCAGATGCGTCTTCCCGCATCGTGATCAATGATGTGTTCGATTTTCCAGACGCAGCGTACACAAGTATTTGATGCGCGGAGCACAAAACTTCATGTTCCGCCACTGTCACAACAACCTTTATACATATCTACTTCTACTTGAGCGATCCAGCTTCTGTCCTACCGCCCAACCAATGATGCTTCTCTAGGTTCACGCCTAAGATATTTGCTCCCCTCGCCTCAAGACTCACCTTGCCTTACAGACTGCAGATGCCCGAAATACAAGCAGGTCTGGAGCTGAGCACAACGATAGCTGCGACCAGCAAGCACTTCGCAAGTCAACAAGTTTCGCTAAAATTCTCTGGCATATGGGCCACGCCAACTGCGAAATAACATTTAGTATCTGGTTGACAGTGGTTGTTGTTTACATGCGACCCTGCAGGCTGCAGTTGCAGCGTTAGACGTACCTGTCATTTAACGGTTTGACGACCTCAGACTATTTTCCACGTGGATTGCTGGAATCAAAGGAAATGGAAACACGATAAGACGTTTATTTTCGCCAGAGGAGGCGACCCAGCCGGCGCACAGTTTGGGTCCGGGATGGTGGTGATCGCCATTGGCAATGGAAAAGGTCACATACATTGAACGTGGAGACGAGTAGCATATGTTCAACATAACGGGTGGTTATTCTGTTATTCTGCAACCTCGAAAAGAGTAACCGGGTCCAACGGAGATGTCACGCTGTCACTCCCGTCTGCACGTCCCCGTGAAATTCACTCTCTTATTTATTATCTTATTCACTATCAGGAGGAGTGTGGAAACGGACAGAGATATTTATACTTTCCCAGCCCCCTGTAATAAAGCATGCAAATGTTTGCAGCCGTGCACAAACTTGTTTACGGTACTCGATATCATGTACCAAGGCGGGTCTGAAGTGAATGATCGTCAACAGCAGACAGCTCGTTAACAGATTCACTTCAGTAAGGCTTTAACTGTCTTGCCCCGCGTGCTATCATTCACTCCTCACCAGAAACACAAATACACACACCATCTTCGTAGCCATATATCCACCATTACCGCCAACCCATTCCAACAAAAGAAAAGGCCCCGGTGGTGTATCGGTTAACATAACCAGTCTCAACAAGTGTTCGGGAGCCGGTGGCGCAGGGTTCGACTCCCTGTCGGGGTATATTTTTTCGTCTTTTCGAACATCCATCTTTTTTCCCTTCATATTTTCCCAAACTACGTATAATTTCAGGTATTAACTGATACGCATAAAATGTTAACTGCGATATCATTCTGCAACGATTAATTTTTTATCACACCTTTGCTGCTCTCTGCGCTATCTTCGCGTACTCTTCCCCGCTCGCCTGGCACATCATCACCGTCACCACTCACGACCAAACATTTGAAGATGTGTAGCTGGGGCGCCGCTGGAAGCTCGTAAGTTAAAAACGCAAACTTTATTCCCTTACAACGACCACGTAAACAGTAAAATACGCTTTGTGACTCCTTGGTTCTGCAAGCCAGGTACTCTCAACAAAAAAGACAAAAAAACCGACCAAGTTCGCCAATGTTGTTCACATGCACACATATTATGACGTTGTTGGTGTTGACGCGCACGTGCCATGCAACAGTTTGCGGATTCCAGGGTCTTGTCCTCACTGCAGTCGCGGGGGTCACGTGTGATCAAGCATACCATCTCATGTGCTAAGTCCTGTGCGCTTTGAATCATGCGTGCCCCCCCCCCCTACAGGACGCAGCCCACATAGATTACTAAACTCTCTTTTGTCGTGTATACTGCGAGCTTCGCTCACTCTTTTTTGTATCAATTAAGGAACTCTATTCTACCATTCCGTAGCGCTCTCCTCACAGGAAGTCCACTTTGCAGCTCGCGCTTCTGCGTGACATGTCCTCTGTGAAGGTCTCACCCAAAATGTGTACACAGATGGGAGCCAAATGGAAGTATGCATTGCTATGAAGGAGAGAAGAGTAAGATACAAAGTGCTGAGCGCAGCCATCATATATATATGTGCCATATGTGTGATGTGTCCTTTAAGTCATGACTCTTACAGTACGGTCCGCTGCGGGTCGGCCGCGGGTCCATGGCGTAATGTATGATCCGTAGATCTCAACGATCGGTGTTCTGCACGATCTCCCAGATCGAGCCTGTTATGACTTGCACGAGCCTTCAGGATCGGGCCCATGACATCCTCACTGCACCTCAGTTGCAACCTCGGGAAACTAGCACAGCCTAAAAGCGCATCGATAAATTCGTCTCCGATGGCATCCTCTCCGTTCGCCGATCTACCGAGAATCAAGATTCCTCGCTCTGGCGGGTTGAATCATTTGGAGAGAATCCTAGGCTTACTGCAAGATTCTGGTCCGCTTTGTTCCTCAGATGCTCTCTTCGTTTCGATTGACCTTGAGGTCTCGCGAGACGAACGGAGTAAGCTCCTGCAATCCAGCGATCGGCCGCTCGTCAAGGAATACGGTGTCGCTATCCTCGACACTCGGGATATAGGCGGTTGCACCGACGGAATTGGTTTGCATCAGCTCATCTCAACGCGACATTACTCGACCCGACCACTGGAAAGGCCGCGACGCCCTAACAGGGTGGCCATTCGGGAATGCATCTTCGCCCACACAAACCAAGTCGACCCGTACGAGCTTCCTTCCATCATCGCCCAATCTCTCTGTGTTAGGGATGCAAAGGCTCCTTCCCCCAGGACTTGTTTCCGGAATATCGCGATAGTTGGTCATTCCGTGAAGCACGACTTGCGGATTCTCCAACGATTAGGGATCGATATTCTCGGCATCGCGCCTCTTCTGGTAATTCTTGACACACATAACATGGCCCGCGACGTTCTTGGGCCGACCTCAACCCGATTAGGCAGTCGCGCGCCCATCAGCAGCTTCACCTTAGCAGCCGTGTTGGCAGAGATTGGCTGTTCTTATGACGAGGCTGAACTCCACAACGCCGGAAATGACGCGACATACACCCTATTCGCTTTGCTCGGGCTAGCTGTTAGAAGTAGTCTAGCTAGAACGCTAAACGACGCAGAGTCGGCGAAGTTGGAAGATCTGATTCGCACCACCGCCCCCGCCAACAGACATCGCCTCTCGCCGTCTCTCGGCACGGCATAACCAGCACTCCCGGACTTTGCTTCCTAGCCCGCTGATGTCGCCCGTGGACCCCATCGCATCGCCGACGCAAGAGGTTGGCGATGACAATCTGTCCTCACGACCGAAAGGTTGAAGCAACAGAGTTTGGCTCGCCGGTCGAGTGACCTTGGCCTTTGTTCAGGCCGAAGCCTCTGCCTTCTTTCTGACAAGTTGTTCCCAATTCTGGGGCTGAGTCCATGTTACTAATTTTTGGGCTGTTCCCAATTACGGCAAATGCGACATACATATCAGTCGAACCGTTGTCAGTGTTAACGCGCACGTGCCATGCAACAGTTGCGGATTCCAGGGGCTTTGCCCCGCCGCAACTGGGTTCCACCGCCACTTGTTCTGCAACCACAGTCAGGGTCCTTCCTCATTCTCATTTTCAATCTGCAGATTTCCACCATCTCATTTTCTCACCTCGTTTGTTAGGTCGCTTTTTCAACGCAATGCATCGTTAATCCGTTGAGATTATAGCGCTTTAATATTAGTCGGTGCCGCTTCGCGCGCGATTCTGACGCAATATGGCGCCGCCAACGGTCGGTGGTTCCGACGACGGACGGGCCCGCGCCACTCCACACCAACAGCAGCCCATCGCTTTGCAACCAGTGGCCCTTCCCCCAATGATACCTGTACCCGAAGGAGCATTGGCATTAGCAGGTCGCGATGATGGCGCACCGCCCCCAAAGAGACTTACATATCGGTTGTATGTGTCGCATTTCCTATCAACATGGAATTCACGGGTGTTCGAATTCGGCGCAGTCCTGTTCCTGGCCTCCATATTCCCGGATACACTGCTCCCCATGTCCGTGTACGCATTGGTGCGTTCCGGCGCAGCAGTGCTTTTTGGACAGTCTGTCGGCAGCTGGATCGATCGCGGCGATCGGCTCAACGTGGTGCGCGTGTCCATCGTGGGCCAGCGGTTAGCGGTGGCGGCTAGCTGCGGTTGTTTCTGGGCTCTGGAACAGCAGGGGGTTGCTCTGGGGGCAAACACCCAAAAAGGGCTGTTCGCGCTGTCAGTAGCTTTGGCGTGCGTGGAAAAGCTGTGTTCGGTCATGAACCTGGTCAGCGTGGAGAGGGACTGGGTGGTTGTCATTACTGAAGGCAACGAGGACGCTCGGAGGGATCTCAACGCAAGGATGAGACGGATTGACCTCTTGTGCAAACTCCTCGGGCCGTTGTTCATCTCGACCATCGCCGTGTCAAGCACGTTGATAGCGGTCTGGGTGACGCTGGGAATGAACCTCGCGGCGGTGGTGGTGGAGTACTTGTTTATTGCGCAGGTCTATCTGATGGCTCCGGGGCTACGAAGACAGACCGGGGAACAGGGGGTGGAGTTGCAGCAAAGCAGTGAGGAAGCTGAAGCAGGGGAGAGACGAACGCTTCTGCAGAGGACGCTTCAGCCGACATCCGCGCTGCGGTTTTACTTCAACCATCCGGCCTTCCTGCCCTCGTTCTCGCTTGCGCTGTTGTACTTGACGGTCCTGTCGTTTTCGGGGCAGATGATCACCTACCTTGTCTCAGTCGGGTATACCAGTTTGCACGTGGGTATCGCGCGGACAGCGAGTACCGTGTTTGAGTTGAGTGCAACGTGGATCGCTCCACGGCTGATGAAACGGATTGGTCCGGTACGGGGCGGGATATGGAGTTTGTGCTGGCAGATGGTCTGGCTTGCTGGCGGTGTGAGCTGGTTCATTGCCGACCATCGCGGGGCAGCAGACAGCATGCCGAATAGCAGGCTGATAGCTGCTACCGGCCTGGCGGTCGGGGTTGCTCTGAGTCGCGTGGGATTGTGGGGATATGACCTTTGCGCGCAGAACATTGTTCAAGATGTAAGCAGCCGTCCGTTTGCCGTTCTGATCGAGCTAACGGTCAATAGGAGGTTGAGACGGATTATCGAGGCACCTTTTCTACCATCGAAGCTTCCTTCCAGAATTTGTTCGAGCTGGTGTCGTACGCGACTACCATCGTCTTCTCAAAGCCCGATCAGTTCCAGTGGCCGGTGATTGTCAGTTTGGTGGCTGTTTACGCGTCCGGTGGTCTATATGCCCTCTTCGTGAGGAAGAGAAGGGGGCACCTGTTTCATGCGATACACTGTGTCTGCACGAAAGAGCATGGGAATGCGTAACTGGATTAAGGGTAAGGCAACATCATAGGTTCAGGTTCAGGTTCCGGTGGTGGAGGTAGTACCGGTGGCGGCAATGGAAACGGGACAGCAACTGCCGCCTCCGGAATCTGCGCAGCATGCACCGGGGGACAAGACTGCGCAGAATGGGGTGCAGAATGGGGTTGCGGAGGTGACGCTGCACTCTGCCGACTCATGCACCTGGCCATCATCAGCAACAGGGGACCGGGGCAGCGCAGAGAACGGAGGAGAGATACAGCCCCATAATCCGCATCCACCACCTCAAATTTAGCGACGCAGCTAAGCAGTAATGATGGCACTGGACAGGGAGCATGATAGACGATAGACGATAAAGGATGGTTACACGGATAATGATGCGTCTTGGATGGGCGGGTACGGGGTATAATGCAATAGTAATAGGAATTAGGTCTACTGGGTCTGTGTCGTAGAAGTAGTGTTATTTGCTGTGTTAGCTACCTGACACATTTCAGCACAGCAAATATATTTTGGTGTCACGTTTCGGAGAGTCAGGAGCTCCGCAGCGTCCGAGCAAGAAAAAAGATGTAGAAGTGGTATGGAAATAGAGAATAGAATATACTGGAAGTAGAAAACATACAAAGGAACAAGAGACTAAAAGACAAATGGGACAAGTAGGTAATGTGAACAAGCAATATACTCCACTTTAAATTCAGATATAAAAGAGATATAAAAGAGATTATACTATCCTTACCACTGCCTGCTGTGTTATTACCTAGGTAGGCAGGTAGTACCCAACGGGTGGGAGCTTTTTCCGATGATGTTACGAAGAGACGAGCAATGAGAAATGTTACCTGTGTGTTATACAGCTCATGAGGCTCAGAAGCTGTGAGCTGATTTGACACCGTGTGATCTGATCTCTC